CCTCAGCATGCTTGTTCTCTGACGGGGACAAGACCCCTACCAGAAAGGGGCAGCTCAGAGCCTGCAAGTATTAAGTCAGGTCGTATCACCCTGCATTTGGCGGTTCAGTCAAGAGCCCCCAGGGAGGATTAAAATAACTTGCAGAAGAGATTGGCACTTGAGCAGGGCTTTGAAGGTGGTAGGGATGAGGAAGGTCACAGAAGGAAATTCTCTGCTAGCAAAAGAGTAAAGGCATAAGGGTGAGAATTAGCTTGAGGCGGGGGACAGGAGGTGTCAGAAAGGGACAGGCTAACACTGCATCAATGTGGCATGCAGAGGTTGCAGTGAAAAGGGACAGGTCAAGAGGCTTCCGTTCTCTCCCTGCCACTTTCCTGATCTGTCAGTGAACCTCTCTGAACTTTTCTTATCAGTAAGACAAGGGCACTGTCACCTACTCCACTGACCTCATGAGAATGAAATTAAACCATGTGTGTAGCATGTTATAGAGCACAGAAGGTTGGGCGGTGCCTGTAACTCAGTGAGTAGGGTGCTGGCCCCATATACCGAGGGTGGCAGGTTCAAGCCCAGCCCCAGCCAAACTGCAACAAGAAAAATAGCCAGGCGTTGTGGCGGGCACCTATAGTCCCAGCTACTCGGGAGATTGAGGCAAGAGAATCACCTAAGCCCAAGAGCTGGCAGTTGCTGTGAGCTGTGACACCACAGCACTCTACCAAGGGCAACAAAATGAGACTATCTCTAAAAAAAAAATAGAGTGCAGAAGGGTCTGCCACACTGGGCAGTGATGCCAGCAGGACAGCTTGATAGGGTAGGGAGTTTAGAAGGACCAGCAGCTGGAAAGACAGTGGTGTCAGGATTGGCTGACACACAGGCAGAGGGTGGGACCCAAGATCCTGCAGCCTCTTACCCTGGGGAGTTCAATTGGGATTAGCACCAAGTTTTAAATTTCATTTTGTCTCTCTGACCAGCTAAATAGGCAGAGAAGTTTGGGGACAGGGAAGTAGGTATCAAACTGCTTTACCTGTGCCTGTGTTTTACAGTTAAGGATATGATGCGTAGCCAGTCCTGGCGTGTTTGTATATGAAACAGGAGTGGGTGTGTTAACACCTTCTGCAAGCTCCGTGTGTCATAGGGGCTAGACCTGGAGAGGGTAGAGGCAGGAGTGGACACAGCTCAGCCCCAGCCACTCTGAGTTGAGAGTTCTTGGTTAAAGGGCTGCTCTGAGAGCAAAGGGGAGGCTTCTAGTGACTGAGCCTTCAGTACCCGGACACCAGCCTCATCGTAAAGACACAATGTTGGCAATTCTGGGTCCTCCACAAAGCCACACATGTCCCGTCCAGGGAATCCCCAAGCATAGCCCACTCCAGCCCCCGGGGTTGCTGGTCCCTTCCTCAGATCTTTAAGTCACTGATTCTGAAGAGTTTATTTCCTTCCCGTCTCTGCGGACAGAGGACTGAGTTTAGATTTGGGGCACTCTATTCCCTGCTCTGTGCTGAGATCTCCTTCCTCCCAAACAGCCTCATCCTGGGTGTGCAGGTAGGATTGGACTCTGTCCTGTCAGGGGCACTGTGCTGAGCACTGTTAAGAGCCTCACCTGCCAGACTTTGGACTTCTGGCCTGAGAGAAAATAAATCTCTGTGCTTTGAAGCCACCTAGTTTGTGATAATAGGTGAACCTAGTGCAGAGAGTAAGAAGGGAGCCCAGGATTGCTGGCAGTCTGGAGCCTGAGCAACTGCACGTGGGCAGTGCACTCAGTCTGCTCTGCTGGGGGCACAGGAAGACAGCCAGCTCCATTGAGCTGGGGGCCAAAAGAGCCATGGCCAAGCATGCCCTCAGTGCCCTGCGAGTGAGAGCTGCCCCACCTCCATCAAGACCTCAGCAGGGCCACAGAGCCCTCAGTGGCCTCTGCACTCCACCCTGAGAGAGGGATCCAAAAGGCCCTACTCCCCACCAAACTTGTCTTGGACTTTATTCCTATGACCCATTTGAAGATTTCATTAGAAATTAAAGTTGTTCTTGAGTTGTTGTTTTTAAAGAAACGCACTGGGCGGTGATGACTGGTGTCCCTGCCTCCTGTAATGAGTTGGGTTACAAGAGTCCTTGAACAGAGACTGAGTTTGAACTGATCAATGGCATTTGGGGGTTGGAACATTGCTCTGGAGCCAGCTAATTTATAATGTCACATGGGCTAGACTGGAAGACCCAAGAGGATAGGCTGTCTCTTGGCTTCTTATTTCTCCTTTTGTAAAAAGAAGAGAGAAAAAGCAAAGTGCCACATTCAGCTATGGGCATTCGGAGATACTCTGCCCCGGGTGGACCATCTGGAGACCGGGGCTGTGCCTTCCCCTGCCACCCATCCTTCCACTAAGGTGTGGTGACACATGCTCCCACCCCTGCCCTCTGTCCTTTGCCCCTCCGCATGCCGGCCCCTATGGTGGCTGGTTCTGGCTCTCATTTGCAGAGGACACCTGTTCCTTAATTAGCCCCAGCTCGCAGTCTGTGTCTTTATCTGGGCTCCCTCTGACGTGTGAGCTCTCGGCCTGCAGAAGGGCTGCTGTTTGGCAGTCTGTTCATGTCTCTGAGGCAGAGTGGGCCCTGAGACTTCCCAAAGTGCTACAGTCCGTCTGTGCTCCTGCGCACCAGAAGAAAAAGAAACCACAACCCAGCCACCAGCCCGGCACAGACATCACAGTTGTTGGCCAGTCCTCCCAAAGAGCCCTTCACTGCCAGTTCACACTCTGAGGAGAGACCTGCTATCCCTAGAATGGGGCAGAGAACACTACTTGTGTGGACCCTCATTCTGACTCCTAGACACCCCCACACTCAGAGTGTACCTCACATGCACTGCAAACTCTACCCTTGGGAGATGGGTCTGGGTGCTTTGTCTCTTTAAATAGAAGGACACTCTCAGGTGGCTGGGATCCCATCCATACAGGGTTCTACAAAACAGTGCCTGTGTCCTAGAATCTTGAAAAGATGGTCTCAGCACCACCCTCTGGAGCACAGGACCTGGGCAACCAACAGTAGCACTCTCTGCCTGCCCTGGGGGTGGCTTTGTTGCCTCCTGTTACTCTGTTGTGGACCTTCTAACAGCCAGTCTTTAGGCTTCTGGGATGAGGTCTGACCGCCCACATAAGCCACCCCCCAACAAGATTCCTGGCATGGCGCCCACAGCTGGAGGCATCACAGGTCAGAGGGGAGCACCTGAACACCTGGGTGCACTGGAGTCCAGTCTCCAACAAGCCACAGTTATTGGGAAACGTTTGTGGCAAATGGCTTTGTGTTTATTTATTCTCCCACCTGGCATCTCCCTCTCCATCCTTCAAAAGAGAAATTCATCAGTGGAAAGTTTCCCTGAAGTGGTAATTTTCCTAAATGACTTACTGACGGTGCTGCATACAGACTGGCGCCTCCGGAGTTGGTGGTTCTGCCTGCGTTACCATGTCCCCAGCTCCTCTCCCTTGGCTGAGAGGGGATCACTGTGAGCTGCCCGTTGTGTTTGCAAGGGGAGTCCTCCCTCTGTATTCACTGCCCCCCAAGCCTAATAGAAGATCTTCCTCCCCATCTTCTAGCAGCAGTGAGGCCAGTTCTGAGGCCCTCACCAGAAAGTGCTTCTCCCGATAGCCCTCCCAGCCTGGTGACCGCCCACCTGGGTGCCTTCTGCACCCCAGCTGATTAGAGCCTTTCCTTCAGCGATGCTTGAGTCCTTGTTACTCATCTTCACAGTAATAACAGACTTGAATAAGAGGTCACAGATTCTCTGCATCCTGCTCTCCTTGCTGATGGGGGCAGGACAGGCTCAGCCCCCTTCTGCCGGGTTCCAACCTGCCAGTCACAGGGACTGGCTGCCGGGCGGGCACAGCAGCTGTGATGGGCTCATCTAGCTCACAGATCTGTGTCTGTGACCCTGTCCCTGAGCAGACCCCCTCCCCACATTTGTTCAGCCTTCCAGGCCGTCTGCTGCATCTCTGGTGAGCATCATTAGCATTAACGTGATAAAATGGCACAGTGTAAATGTTAATAAGGGCTGATGCCTTGCGTAGCTTCCGAGTGGCAGATTGGAAATGGTACTATCATCTTAACTCCAACGAGCAGCTTTTAATTCCTCTGCTCCCTGAGCAACCAATTTGGCATGGAAATCGTAATCTTCCCTCAGTTCCCCCTCGTTTTCTTTCACTCCCATTTTCTTTGGCAAAGAAGTTCAAATTGCCCACAGACCTGTTTCCTGATACAGTTTGACCTTTCTTTTTTAGGTAAACGCTCTCCCCTTTTCTCCAAAGATATGAAACTCGAGGACACCCATGATAACAAGTACCCCTTCTTTGATGGGGTCCCCCCACACCCTGAGCTGCTTCACTCCCGATTGTCTTGATGCGGCTCCTGCTCTCACTCCTCCAGAGTGATTCTCTGAGTGATCTTCTGCAGCAGCCACTGACTTGTTCTCTGGGCGAGCCCTTGTCTTTAAGCTAAATACATGGCTGACGCCTGGCATCCTGATAATTCTTTGCTCTGAGCCCTTTAGAAGGGGTGCTCTCTCTGCTGCATGGCTTTGTCAGGGCTCCAAAGACCCCTCCTCTCTGTGTCCTTTCTTCCCATCAAACTGTGAGAGCCAGAGGCAATCTGTGTTTCTTTTGGATCCTTATTTTCCTGCCATCTATACCTAATCCATACTTACAGGCAGGTGCTGGACACATGGTCCTTAGTGGGCCTTGGCTGACTTGAGCGGGCAGAACTGCTAGGATGATGCCTGAGCCTTACCTAGGAATACAGTAATGTGAAATAGTAAATGTGAGCAGAGGTAGAGAAGCGTGGCTCAGGGTCTCTTGTTCCAGCCTTGGTACTTGGCACTTACCCAGAGTGTTTGACCCCAGGGAGCCTCCACCCGTCCAGGTGTGCCCCTGCATCAGGACTGGCCTCAGCAGCAGGCAGACACCAGTGAAGGGTGATGTCCTCCCCATGCAGTGGCCCTCTGCACTCCCCTCACTCTTCTTTTCATCACCCAGGCTGTCTTCACTCTCCTCCTCGGACCTTTCACCTTCTTTGACGTCCAGAAGACCAAGTACCTGCAGATCCTAACCTCTCTGATGAGATGGATCGGTGAGTCTGAGAAACATCTCGCTTCTCTACCCTTTCTCCCTGCGTCCATTCCTTAACCTTTTCTGAGAGGCTGTGCCAGGCACCTGGCCATAGCTGGAATGTGGTGGTGGTTGCCATTGACTCAGGTCTGACTGGTCCTCCAACCTTTCCATCAGACAAGAAGGAAGCAGGTACTCTATTGGCCTTTCACTGATGGGGAAATTTAAAAAGAAAATTATTTTTTCAAGATCACATAGTATGGATGGAGCTGGGGCCTGGGACTGTTGATTCCAGAACCAGCCTCTTTTTCACACACACACGCTGCAGCTCCACTGACTCACAGGCTGGCAGCAGGGCTCCTGAGGCCTGGGTTGGGTTGTGCCCCTATGGGGCACCAGAGCAGCACAGCTCTACCTTCTTCCGGTTGGCATCTCGCTATGCAACATAACCATAAAAGCCAGCAAGCCGTGGCAGCAGCCACTCTCTGCCTCCGAGTCCCCAGCCGCCAGGGCATGAAAAGACACCCCGTGCATACTGTCTTCTAACCAGCCGACACCCTGCTGATTAAGAACACCATTGTCCTCAGCTGGGGTTTGGGAGTCTTTCCCCACTAAACCAGGCTAACAGTAGGGAGCTGGTCCACTCCCACCTCAGGGAGGGACCCTGCTGCTGGTCCACCTGGATTGAGGACAGGAGGATGTTGTCATCCTCCCTCCTCACCCTGTCATTAGCATGTGCTCCAGGCATCAGTTGGATGCTTGCTTGGCTTGGTCTAAAAGCTGAGAAGGCTGCTGCTGTCCTGGGAGAGGGGCCTGGGCGGAGGGGTGCATCTAGCCTGAAGGTGCCCAGATGTGCTTCCCAGGAGCTCGCAGCCTCTTAGCACAGAGACTCCAGAGGAGTAGGGTGGGACTCTTCCCTCTGGACCATTGCCATCTTCCCAGCCCCTCTTCCCACTGCGTACACCTCTCCCACCCTCATCATGACTCCAGGGATGGGCATTTATCCTGCGTCCTGTTGGGACTCAGCAGCAGGTCATAATGCACTGGACAATACATAATGTCAAACAACTCCCAGCAGTTCAGGCATCTCCAGCCTCCCAGTTCCCCAGACCCAGGGATTTCAAGATCCCCGGTTCGAGGAGCCATCACACATGAGAGTTCTGGGCTGTTTAGCTGGAAGGGACCATAGCAGTCAGGCACCTAGCCCCACCCCTGCAAGGGCAGGCTCTGCTGTGTGGGGAGAGGGGGCCTCTGAGGCATGGAGCCTGAGACTGGGTCAGGCTCTGTTCTGAGTGCTAGGAAGTTCTTCCTTGTCTGAAGCCAAACTCACCAGCCTGTAACTTCTTCCCACTCTCAGTCCATCCTTTAGAGGAAGTGAGCACAGGTCCGAGATCTGTTGTGAAGCCCCTAGCACATGTCATCCGTGCACTTCCAGGCCTCTGACTTGAGCAGCCCATCTTTCGTCATCCAGCCAAGGGAGCAGGAGGGCACCTGTCAGTACCTGCACAGGGCAGAGTCCCTCGTCTGCCCCCTTCAGCCGGCCTGATCACATACTCATCCATGGGATGCTGTTCCCAAACTTCATTCACAAGTTCCAAAGCCCTGGGTTAAACTAATATAACTCCCTGGGGGAAATGTGAACTCATTGTTTAGGACATAAGCATCACACTGGCTCCCAGGACAGATGCTGAAGTGGAACCTCCCTGGTGTTAGGAGGGGTTGTATCCCGAAGTCAAGGTCAGCAGGGAGCAGAAATGCAGGCTGCCCACCCTTCTCTTTATTCCTCTGCTTTTTTTTTTTTTAGAGTCATACTTTGTCACCCTTGGTAGAGTGTTATGGCATCATAGCTCACAGCAACCTCAAACTCTCGGACTCATCAAGTGATCCTCTTGCCTCAGCCTCCCAAGTAGCTCAGAATAGGCTCCCACCACAACACTCAGCTATTTTTTTGGAAACAGGATCTCGCTCTTACCCAGGCTGGTCTTTAACTCTGAGGCTCAGGCAATCCACCTGCCTCAGTTTCCCAGGGTGCTAGAATCACAGATGTGAGCCCTCTTATTCCTCTGCTTATAGGAAGTATAAAAGCCCTCAGATCTGCAGAAGGAGTTTTCTCAGTAAAGCAGAATTTGAAGGAAAACATTCTCCCATCTCACTTTTGTGGCCTAAGTCTGTCACTCTGGCTACTGTTGCTCCCAGCAGCTGGGTCTTTAGCCCTGGAGGCCCAGCCTTGCCCCACTCTTGCTCACTGTCCTCATTAAGCTGCACTGCTGTGGGAAGGTGGGAGGGGGCTCCCTCTGTGCCAGGCTGCTCCCTGATTCCTGGTCCTGGAGGACAGGATCAGGTGGGGAGAGGTGGAGGGACACTTCTGCTTTAGCCAACATGTCAGCCCAAGAGGGATGACACCCAGTTGACAATAGCCTCCACCAACCCCTGCACCTGTTCAGTGCGGCGAAGCCCTCTGTGCACCTGGTGAGCAGTTCTCACGTTAAAGGGGAGGAGGAATGAAGGTAGAAGAGGCAGCTGATGGGAAGTGAACAGTGGCTGTCTCAGAGCAGTATATGCCTTTGCCCAGACTGGGGTCGGGGAGGAGCCAAGCTCTGTGGCCAGCAGGGACAGCCCTTGCTCTCTTTCCATCCAGCCATTGGAGGCCTTTCCTCCCCCAGAGTCAGGCTCACAGAGTGGACTCAGCAGCTGCTATTGCCCTGCGAATGGACTGCCACCCTCTCCTCCCACGGGGCCACCAATGGCTGCACTAGGCCCCAGGATGCAGTCGGAATATGAGCTCCCAGCCCCTTCCTCACTGCCTGTTCTGTAAAGAGGGCCCTTGCCACTCCTGTGTCCCATGCTATCCTGCCCTGAGGTTCCTGGGCCCTGGGAGGCAGCCCCTACAGTGCTGCAGAGTGAGGTGACAGTGGCCTCGAGGGAGCCTCTTGGCAGCACTGGCAGCCTGAGGTAGAAACCAGCTCATGAAGGTCGTCATCACTTGTTTTGTTGGTGGTGACATTGTTGTCTTGACATTGTTGTCTTTGCAAGTCATTTAGCTTTTCTCCCTTTGATCCAAGAGATAATCAAATGTCAGGAGCCTCTCAGGCGGGCCTTTCTCCGAGTGCTGCTGTGGGTGACAAGGCTCACACAGTCATTCTCCACAAGGGACTCAGACCTCGGGACATGGAAAGCAAGGCTCAGTGACACAGAACCCTCTGGGGGAAAGAAAAATTGACCAGTTAACTCTAAAATGCAGCTGAGTCTAGGGATCAGTTCCCGGAGGGGGACATTGGAGCCACCAGACGTTCTTCTCAGCCCTGGTGGAAGGTGTTTTCCTCATCTGAACCCCAGGCAGCAGCAGGAAGAGGGGAGGAAAGGGACAGAGATTTCAAGATCCCTGGAGCCACCAAGCAACACAGAATAGGCAGCTCCACTGTGGGAGGGACCCTGGTCTACAGGACCCCACTAAGCCTGTCCCTCCTCTGGGCCAAGCTCACCCCAGGTAGTTTTTCTAGAAATGCCCTAAAAGCAGTGATCTCCAAAGCCCATTCATACACTCAAGTCTGCGCCAAGTTGTCCCTTCGCAATGAGCTCCCTTTTCACTTTGCCTCAAAAGCAGCTGTGTGACCGCGTCCCCCTCTTCCCACACTCCCGCCCACACCCTCCTCTCCCCTCCCAGTCAAAGGGGAGCCTTTCCACGAGCCGAGCAGGGTGCTGGGGGGGTGGGGGGCAGTGATGGGCTTGAGTTCCAGGAAGACAAAAAGGAAGAATGAGCACCAAAGGGACCGGAAAATCATAAATAAATGTGCTGAGCCGGAAACTTCCTTGTGCTTAATTAGGAATTTGTTCTGCCATCTGTTGAAACAAGGCTGGAGGAGATTGCAGGCCCCCGGCTCTGCTGAGGAGCCTTTAGACCAGTTCCTCAAAGGGCTTTCGCCCTGCCCCTGTCTGCCTCATTAGTTCAGAAGCCCCTCGTGTTGTCAGAATGAGACTGAAAGGGTTTTATGGCCTTTGCAATTAGCCACTGTCCAGGAAAACTGTCAAAATAGGCCCCTTCATTTCTTATGCTTCTCAAATTCAGTTTTGAGGATACCAGGCTGGTCGCTTTGGGGTACCAGGAAGGCAGATGCCTCTGCACCCATATGTGTGAGGAGGGTCTCAGCGTTAAGGGTCTCAGGTTAAGGTCTGGGCACAGACCTTAACCAACCTCCTGGCCGCTTGCCTCAGACCAGACAAAGTTGCCACACTGCACTTCCCACTCGGTTCCCTTCACTGTGAGTCAGACAGCGTGTGCTCACAATGCACACAGACCCAGCCTCCCTCGGCCAGGGTCCTATCTGCCCTGACAGTGGTGACTCACCTCCCTGAACCGCTGACAGTTAAGCAGGATCATGTGTAAAGCCCTTGCTAGCACAGTCCACACACCTGGTCAGCGTTCAGAGGTGAGCTGCAACAGGCATCACCCTGGTGTGGCCTCAGAATGAGCCTCCCTTGCAGCTGGCCATGAGACCAGCGACCTCAGCCACCTGCGGAGAGAGTTATGGTGCTGGGCATCCACAGTGGGTGTCCCAGGGAGATCTTGAAGTCCCAGTAGTACATCTTCCCTGCCATACCCCCACTGTAGTTTCCTGGTGCACCCTGGGAGCAAGCCCTTCCTGCACCATCACTCTCCAGCCCCTACCCCTGAGAGACTGGAAAGTAGGCCCCTCGCCCAGAGGGGCAGGGGTGACGGTGTTAGCAGCAGCTATCTCTGCCTGGCTCTCTGTCAGCAGCAGGTAGACTCAGGATGTTAGGGGACAGGTAAAGGTACTGTCCTTTGTGCCCACAGGCCCAGCCCCAGGGGACTTAGAGTCTGAGCTTTGAGTAACTAAACTGATAGCAGTAGGCTGTTCCCACCAGGGATGAGAACACCCAGCTGATGCCCAGCAGGGGCTCTTGGGCTGGAAGGAGCCAGGGCAGCATTATTACCTCAGTCCTGTGAGCAACTTTCCCCTGGCAGACGTCTGCAGACACCTCCCGCTTGGGGACGCGAACAGC